TTGCGAGGCTAAAGCGTGACAAAACTCTTGAATGAAAATTTTAATTAAATTTTATAATCTAATTCGCTTCCAGTGACGATTGAATCAAATCTGTGAAGACATTTTGCTATAGGAAAATTTACAAATACAGTCCCCAGTGTTTGAGAAATGAAACATATGGGTCCCCCTTCAATTTTTTTAGGTGCACAAATCCTCGAGTTCTTACTTGAATGACAACTGTTATTTATTCTTTATTCCCAGCCATAATCCCTACCCCCCTTCACTCCCTTTTATACCTTCCTACAGCCATAAAGTGTGTCAAATTATATTCTTTCAATTTAATGATACTCAGAAATAATCGATATAGACAATAAAAAAAGGTGCTGAAAGTCCCCGCCTCATCTTACTATGCCCGTTGATCAAATGCAACCCTCGTGGCTTTAACAAGGTATCCACCGTTGCTAAAAGAGACTAGCCAAGGTCGAAAATCACAAGCCAGAGCTGCATAATAAGAAAAAAAATAACAAATAATTACACCACAAGCTACCCACTCCACTATTATTATTTTTTTTACCAAGAAACATACAAGGATGAAGTGAAGAATGCAGCATATAACTTTCATGAGATTCTTTCCAACTGATCACCAAATTCACTGGTGGATGCAAACCAAGAGTTGTAAAGATAAGTGCAAGACAAAAAAAAAGAGGGGTGGACAAGATATTCAAAAGCCACTAATGATTTTTGTGCAAGCCTTTTTGCATCAAAAGGAGAAGCCGCCTTTTTTTCTTTTTTTTTTTCCCCATATCCTCAAAAATTTCATGTCAACTCAAAATTCAAATTGGTAGTCACCTTCATGCTTTACAAATATGGTAAAGATAGCCTCTTTTTTTTTTATTAATCTGAATAACTCAGATTTTTACCATCCATCTTGAGCTATCATACTTTTTGGAGGCTTTATTTTCTGGCGTGTATCCTGGTGCGGGATTTAGGCAGGGAAGAGTTACAAAATCAACATAAATATGTAGAGAATACAATACAATTATCTTATATTAAGAGCTGAAAGTTGAAAAGGAGTATCTCCAAACTTACAAACTTATACCCAATTTCTCAAAAGACAAAAACCATATTTTCCTATCTACATCACCCCCAACAATGACGAGAGAAAACTTAGTTCTGAACCTAGCTAGTGTTCCCCTTCCGAAAATTATATTGCACACGAGTTTATTTCTTTACATGAAGAGGAACAATGTCACGAGATAAATATTCATTTGTTTCTCGAATCGATCCCACCCCCAAACGAAACTCGATGATGATAAAGCAAGATAGAAACCAAAACAGGAGATGAATCAGGATGCAGCATCACCTAGGCCTTGGTCGAGATGGAAACGACCACACTGGTCGAAGAAGCCTTTGAGCTGAAGGACTGCCTAACAATGTGGCCTGAGAACGAGTAACCATCTCGACCATTGAAGGGGTTTGATAAGCCTGAACAAGGCTTGAACCATCTGTAGAATCACCTCTTGCTGTTGCTCTCTGCCATGAGTGTGAGCTCAACCCCGACAGTATATATGCTCTTCCTGATGCCTCGTACACATGTCTGCTCGCCATCCTCTCTTGCATTTCCTTGAGCTCAGCATCAAGTGCAACACACAGCCTGTCACGAGATTTAGCCGACGCGGTTTCTGACAACAGTTTTCGGCAGTTCTTGAGGATAGAAACGGCACGAGCCAAATCTCCACTTTCAGCTGAAGTGCGTGCTTGTGCCATTGCCTCTGCTGCTTGAAGCCTGTTTTGCTGCCTGTCCACTTCAATTGACACGCCGTCCTGTCTAGCCACTACAGGTCTCTTGATTCTAACTTCTTCACCTTCTAAGGTGACCGTTTCTTTTGTCAAAGGATCATTGTAATTACAGTTTACCTTCAGCAACATTGTTTCATTGCTTGTATATGCAGCAGGGACATTTATTGAAACCAAGAAGTCTCTCTCCTCATCCGCATAGAGATCTCCAACATCAATAGATCCTGTACGTCTATCTGACAAGACGTGGTTGGCGTAACTCCCTGCCTTTAAAGAACCAAGATGGACACTCGGGTGAAGACACTCAATACTTATCTGAAGATCCTTCACCACAACACTCAAAAGGCCTCCAATGCACTGTGCAAATGCATCCTGGATCACTCCTTCAGTCTCAATGAATGAAAAGGTCCCTCCAGAAATCTCTGAAATTGAGTGCATGGATGATGCATCATGATCTGCACCAAACCCAAATGCATGAACCGGAATCTTAAAACCTGAACCATCTTCAGGGTGCATAGAAACAGGTAGGAGCAACTGATAATTTGGTTGATTCTTGTTGCCACCAATATTACTGACAGTATACGTGTCTTGCCCATCGGATAATAATATTATACTGGCAACTGGATTTTTTTCCCTCCGGTCCTCCATTATTTTGACTCCTTTTCTCAAACCTTCAGCGATATTTGTCCCTCCATTGGCAACTAAAGAATTAACAGACTGTAATGCTTGCTGCCGTCCTGTTTCAGACATCCTACGAAGGGGAAAGAGGCGTCTGGCTGTTGAAGAGAAGGCGATGACTGCCAACCTATCATTGGGACTGAGATTCTGTATCACAAACCCCATAGCTCGTTTTAGTAATGCAAGTTTAGTGCCTGCCATACTTCCACTAATGTCAAGAACAGTAACAAGATCAACAGGCGCTCGAGGTGTCTGAGAAATTTGGGGCATATTAGCCTGGTTTCTGCCGGGATTCCGCCAAGAGTTTGCTGTAGGAGCTTTTAGATTAATCAAGACAGTGAATTTGTCAGAAGTGTTCAACTGTGAGACTGCTGGAACTTCCGTAAATGACTTCATCGTAACTTTTCTTTGTTCATTACAATCTCCAAGATTCTTTTTTGAAGAGTCGATTTCATGATCCAACAATTCATCATCGTTAAAGATTGCTGGCTCAGGAGCCTGAAATAGTGGTGCAACATTTCTACTAGAATTTGAACGAGGAGGTGGTAATCGTCGGACTACTGTCATCAAACCATTGTTTTGGTGCCAATCGACGGGATTGATTCGCGCCCTTCCGACGGGAGGATCCAGACTCGGACCTTGCAAGGGAATCTCTTTCCACTTTGCTCTGCAAATAGGGCAAATTTGGTTGCCATGTTTCACATTTGAAGCAATACAATGGAAATGAAAGGAATGCGAACACTCGGCAGTGAATATAGCTTGGCCATCTCCTCGTCTCATTGATGTCAAACAAATTGAGCAGGTTTTCTGAAAATAAAAGGCAAAAGCCAGTGAGAAAAATATGGACTATAATACCAGTTAGAATAAAAGTACATCCAACATTTTAAAGGATGCTCACAACGTCTTAATATAAATAAAAAAGAAACCATGCCAACATAGCTCATGAATGCTCACACATTATACATTTAACGTAGACAACTACAACTACCGATTGAGCTATAAATTAACACTTGGAAGTTAAATAATCAAAATTTACTTATCAGTATCTCAAGTGACCTTGACATGGATACAATTAAGAAGACAGTGTCACTTGGTACGCAGTAGTAATAGCCATTCTTTGGGTGATATAGATGGACTAATTGCAGACTTTTAAAGGGGAAAAAGATTATTTTTGCATTATGGGAAAAGGCAAAAATTCCTGCACCAATACGGGCCTCTACATTTACGGAACCTAAGGATATTCCTTCTTCACTAGTTATTTTAAATTAGAATTAAGTACACTCACCTTGACTTTTAGTCTAGTAGAGATTGTTAATATCCTAATTTCCATGAAATGAAAATTCAGTTCTTTAATACCAAACTTTTTGTTTGTTGCCTAAAAAATATATTTTGTAAATAAATGGTGAAGAGAAGTGGCAGCAACAAAATATTATTTTTTCCAAGAGATCAGACACAAAGGTAGGCCTGTAACCTTTTTCTCACAGATACACAAAGCACCAAGTTTAAACTATTCTCTAAAACATACAAAAGGAAAACAAGGCAACAAATTTTTTTTACACAACACGATACCTAATACGCAATCCGCTATCTTCATTAAAGAAGAAAAAAATACCAGCAGTAAGTACAGGCTAAACAAAACGTAAATACACATATTACTTTGCTGATGATAGACCAATCAGAACATTGATGAAGTTTTTAAATATAAGATTAAGAACGTGTTAAGGTAAGCTTAAAAAGTTAACTTATTAGTAAATAAGTTAAAAATAAGTAAGTTAGCTACTGTGATATCAAGTAAGAGTTACCTTAAAATAAGTAACTAATTTTTTTACTTAGAAGGTAAGAAAAAAGTAACCTATCAAAACATGTTTTGAAACAAAAAGTCGCTAACTTTACTTCTTGTTAGCTTGGCCAAACATCCTCCAATGCATTAAACTTTGACTACTCTAGGTACAGCAGAACTCTATATAAAACTTAAGGCGAAGAGCCAAATCGAGGTGCCAAACTATCCCGTAAATAGTTCTACGAACGAATGG